AATTTTTCCTTCAGCACAAATAACTTCTTGCTGGCTATTTGCATAATTGTCCACCACTCATTGACCTCAGCTGGAAGATGTTTGCATTTTCTTGCATCGACAAATCCTCCCAAAACACTTCAATGTGGATCAAGCCATTTTTTCCCCCCTAGAGGTAGATTAGTGTTCTTAGGGTTATTACAACGCTGATATGTTCACTTCCTGTTCAACTTCAGCTCTTGGACAGATGGCCTCTCATTATCTCAAAGCACTTGGAAATTATGCATAATTCATAGCTGAATCAATGACTGCAAGCTGCAGAGTCTGAGACAGTGAAGCAAAACCAAAACATAACATTCAACCCACAGTGCATCATAGCTGGTATGGGACCATTTTCCTGAAACGTTATGTGGTCTGTGCCAAACATATCTCATGTTACAACGACCCTTTATCATTCTTGTTCTCTTCATCTTCCATTCATTAGTTCAGAGCACTTTATTCCAAAAGTCCTGTTGCTTTGCTTATATGTTGATAGTTCAATTGCAGTTTTTCTCTAATGTTATTTCTGGACAGCAAATACTTTTTCCTGGCAGATCTCCCGTGCACATTGCATTTGTCCAGCTTGTGCAGTCCCTCTCTTACACATGCACTCTGACACCAACCAGCTGCAAGAGTTAATTTCCGCTGATTACGTTTTGGGGTTCTTTTTGTATCAAACAGTCTGCTTTTTGGCTCAATTTGCTGGGGCAGCCAGTTCCACAGAAAATCGCTTGCCAGACTCATTGACAACCACATTCTTTACTCTAAATAACCTTAAAGACCTCTTTAGGTCTTGGCATGTTCACTCAACAAACGTTAATAGCACAATAAGACACAGGGTGCTTTCAGCAGTGCTCTGCTCCATCTAGAAATCCAAGCATTTCAAAGAGAAGACATAGTATAAGACTCTACAACAGCAATGTGAAGTGCATCCTTCTGTACGGTCTGAATCTGGCGCATTACCAAGAATGACATCCTAGCAATCACGTTGTTCCCTCCAAACAAATGCTCACACATGGAAAAGTAGAGGAGAACTGCCTGTCTCAACATCACCCATAGAATAAAAACAAAGAATTGCTATTACAGGTCCTGAAAGGATAACAGATTGCCCTCAGATGGGCGCCATAATCTGACGGAAGAGGAAGATGTTAAGACCAAATGAAATATTGATGAGGACTATGCTAGCAGTGCTACAAAAGATGGGTCTCTGATGGGTACAGGCATAAGATGGGAGGCTGTCACAAGTTGGAGCTTTACGTCCCACATGGAAAGAGAATAACAAACCACACATGGCAGAGATTCCTGTCATCATCACCTAATCTGGAGCCCTGGATTCTGAACTGATGGATGTGAGGCTGCAGACAAATGTGGGAGTGCACTAGTTTTTCCCGTGTGTCTGACGTGCTTTCTTAAGTTATTTCTCACTTTCTCGGTTAATAGAGTCTCTTTCAAGTTGGATTAGAGGATTTCTTGGTTGAATGGGTTAAAAAAGCCAACAATATCCACTTTAACACACAAACCGTAACATTTCCAGTCAAAGAAACTAATGACAAGTAGGACATGCAAATACAATGGAACGAGGGCAGGAGGTAGCAGTATATGAGAAGAAGCAATCCTGAAACACAGAAATTTGTAGCACAGCATAAAGGTGTGTGTGTGTGTGTGTGTGTGTGTGTGTGTGTGTGTGTGTGTGTGTGTGTGTGTGTGTGTGTGTGTGTGTGTGTGAGGCAAAGAGTGAGTGAGTGGGAGAGATGTTGGAGTTCTGGCAAAGCACACTGCTGAGCGGGGTGCACACACCCACACACAACCTGTCTGAGACTTTAGGACACGACACGACCCCGAACCACACACATATACAGTATATCCCACACATAAAAACACATGCACACACCCAATTTACATACTCAAACACATGCATCAATATTTATGGTCATCGTGAGAGGACATCACCTGCAATAGTCCCCTTGTTTAGCCACCTCAGCCAATGAAAAGAGACAGTCCATGGTTGCTAGGTGACTAATAGCCCTTTTCATGGTGTGGTAGTGCTCCCCAAACTGACTGTAGAGAGAGAGAAAAAGAGATTTTGAAGTGTTCAGAGTAGACAGCACTGACGGTGTACTTGACTAAAACAGACTAATTCTGGCAGGCTGAGAGC